TTTTTTGCCTTTAAAATAAGTTATTGTTTAATTACTATTAAACTGGGAATAAGCCACAATTAAAGATAAAAATACATTTATTGAAGTTTCAATTTCCACTTCGGAAATCGTTCTCAAAATACAAACAGTAAATTTATTTAATTTACTGTTTGTATTTATAAATCCGAAGTGGAAATTGAAACGTCAATAAACGTATTTTTATCTTTAATTGTGGCTTATTCCCAGTTTAATAGTAATTAATTTACAATGCCACAAGAAAATAGCTTCAGAACAATATTAAGTTATTATTTCTTTCACAGATGTGGATGGTTGAGAATGGCGTTTTCTGTTTTCTTTGGTGGCAATGGGAGTTTTACGCTCAAAAGTAACTTTAGGACCTCCACTTGACCTAGGTGTAACTGCTGAGGGTTGAACCTGAATGATATCGGTGTTCGATGTTCCTGAATTGTTTGATTGAGTGTCTTGTGAACTAGATGATTGTGCTCTCCCAATTTCATTCTCAAAAGACTCTACATTTGTCAATTCTGTATATTCTGGTACTCGGACATCGCTAACGTTAGATGTAGTTTTTGCAAAACTTAAGAATGGTTTAAATGCTTCCATCTGATCTGCCCATATCCATTTTTTCGTAGAATTTGCCGCCTGTCCAGTTTTAGTTTTGCTGGTTCTGATATACTTGGCATACGTATCTCGCAAATTTCTCGATTTTTTCTTTATCTCATCCCCTAAAAAAATTATTTTTAGATATCTGGCAACCGGAGATTCATTCTATACAATTGGCCATAGTTTTAGAGTTGGTTTCTCGACGGTAAGTGCCATAGTTGTAGAAGTTTGTGAAGCAATATGTAGAAATTTGCAATTAACATATTTACCCGAACCAACTACAGAAATATGGAAAAAATCTGAAGAAGGCTTTAGAAATATTTGGCAATTTCCAAATTGTATTGGTAGCATCGATGGCAAGCATATTACTATAAAATGTCCAGACAAAACTGGAGCTAATTACTGGTGTTATTTAAAAAAGTTTTCAATAGTATTATTGGCTATTGTTTGTGCCAATTATAAATTTATTATGATTGATATTGGTGGTTTTGGTAAAAATAGTGATGGTGGAATTTTCGAAGTTGCCAACATGGGAAGAAGATTTGAAACAAATTCAATGAATGTTCCTGAGCCAAAAAATCTTCCTGGACAAGATGAACCTTCTCCTCATGTCATAATCGGAGACGAAGCATTTGCTCTAAAATCATATTTGTTGAGGCCCTTTCCATACAGCCAAAGTAAAACAGATATTTTTAAGGAAAATTATAATGTACGGCTCTGTAGAGCGAGAAGAGTTGTAGATAATGCTTTCGGTATGTTAGCACAAAAATGGCGTATATTCTACAGACCAATCGAAACAAAAGTTGACACTACTATTAAAATTGTGAAAATTGCATGTATCTTACATAATTTCCTAAGAACAAAAAAATGTGATGATGGATTTATCGAACTTTTAGAGCCATCAGAACCTGAAGTTAGAGCGTTTCTAAATTTTGATAATGACCCAAGGAGAGCTACGAGACTAGCATTCTCGGTCCGAGACAGATTTGTAACTTTTTTTAATTCAGGACTATGAATTAAAATTTTTATATTTTACATTTTCGCCTATTTCTTCTCCTATTTTACTCCAAACCTTATCCTTTTTTCGAACATTCTTGTAATCTTCATGGGAAAGATCATATAAAATGGGATATTGTCGAACTAATTCAATCAATTTCTCCATAATAAATTATTACCGCACTACGAATCCGGACAAAAACGCAGTCGATGGCGAACTAAAATTTCGGACGAATATTTACGCAGACAAATCGCTCTTACAACAGTAAAATTCGTGCGAGTCTGAACTTGTCAATTTAGCATAGTTGAAATAATTTGATGCGAATCGCATGCGGTGCGATTTTTCGCAACAGGTACGAATAATTCGCATTGGTTTGGGGAAACCTTATTTGCTGCCAAATTTGATTGTTGCTGTTATATCAAATACCTTTTTTTTATATACATTTTTTTTTGCGAATTCATATCAGTTATGCTGAACTTACTGCTAACTTACATTGTGTTGAGTGTATAATATTATAGCCCAGGTTGTGGAGAAAAAACGGGTGATTTTACACTGTAATCCAAGAATTTATGTAATGTGGCCTAGGTTATAAAGGGCAACCTCAGGAGCAATCCCCCAGTTCATTCAACAAAAAATTTTTGGTTATTGTTTATTTATGAGCGTTTATAGGTGCAAAATACGTATTTTTGAGTTTTTTTCATTTTTTGCCTAAAGTAAGTGTTGTAATGGGTAATTTCTGTATAGATTATGAAAGTACTCTAAAAGACCTTCAATTTGAGCTGGTATACGTTCAATTAAATTTATTTGTTATTGCAAAAATTACGAATGAAGGTCAAAATTAAAAAACAATATTTGTTGCAAATATATTACCTTCAAGCCTATAAAATTACGAATCGAATGAGCCGTAGTAGGCCTAGATCGCTTAATTTGTTGCTGAGATACGTTAATTAGTTTATTCCACGACCTTCAACTTTGAATGCTCATAGGATTGCTAAAAAAAATGGTAGAGGGCTAATTATTGTTTCATTCTCTTCCTAAAGCCGTAAATTTTCATATTCCACTGGAAAATAATGAAAAAAAATGTTTTAACAAGTTAAAAACAATTATTTATGAAGTTGTAAAATTGCATTTATAAACGTTTAGAGCTGCAGCAAAATTGTCAAAAATCTTATCCTGTCGACTCGTTACTAATCAAGAAACAATAAAAAAGAAGATCATTTGTTTCGTTTTTGATGCTGTCTTTAATTTGATATCAATATTTATTGTAAATGATGACCGTTCTTGTGTATTTTGCGAATTTATTCTAAAATAAATTCATACACCACATTTTATATAATCTATACACGATAAACTAAACCTACACTTCGGTGGAATTTAAAACAAAAAAAATATATAAAATTAAAAATCATAAACCATTTACTACTTTATACATTGTTATACATGTTATACTATAATTACGGTAGAAATTTAACCTCACTTATATGTGAATATATGACACAAGATGAATTTAAATGCACGCTCCAAGTTAAAATTCAAGTCGTCTTAGTAGGAGACTTGAGCTTGAGCAAAACTATTTGTAAATATTTAGTAAATACTTAAGTAAATATATTTAATTGGTGTAACGAAACTCAACGTACTTAAGTAAAAATTGTTTCTAGTAGTTCTGTAGTAGTCTTGCTTATTTTCTTGTATGTCGTAATATACATATTCAATTCTAGACTGAACGTGTATATCCAGGTTCTCTTTTTGATGTCTTCATATATTATATAAAGGTCATCATATGTAGAAATCGGTACGAACAACTTCAGCACTTTTTGATTGTTTGCTAGAGCTATCTCGAATTATTACCTAGATGAATAGAACTCTTTATTTTTAATGTAGGTTTAATTAGAAAAGAATAGTTTGTAGAATACCATTAAGTTTATAAACTTTTAAAGAAATCAGTATAAATAATTCAAACCCTAAGTGGTTACAGTATTTTCATTCGGTCATTAGCATTTGGATTTACACTAATAGATATATTTGATGAAGATATTGTGAAGGAGTCAGAAACAAAACAGCCCAAGTAGCAAAATATGCATTTTGAGAAATAAAGCATCAAGCAATTTTTGCGTCTTTAAAATTTCTTGACTTTAAAATCAAAAATTTTTTAAAGTATTAAACAATTTAAAATAAATACTTAACACTTTTTTACTCAAAAAAAGATGGCGGTAATTAGGGTTAGTACGTAGTCGATTTTACTACCCAACAATATAAGATATTCAGAACGCGAAACTGAAACACTAAAATCGTTTTCGTGAAAATTTCACTTAGGCGGTTTTGCTTCTAATCCCTTCGAATGTTCCTATATTTAAATGTTTTGAACTGTAGGCGAGGCAATAAAGCAATATACCTACCAAATATTTTCAAATGGATGGATCTTAATGAAAATTGTTTCATTCGATTCGTAAAGTGTCAGGAAATTTTGAGAACAAAAATGCATTGCATTACTGAATAAGGAAAATGCATATTTCAAAGAGCATTTCGAAATTGTATTGACGGAAATGAGCTTAATATTACTACTCTGGGTTTTTTGGGGTCACTAGCGATTCAGCGCGATACTCCTAGGCTGGTCGCCTGGTCCCCGTCTCCTGGAGTATTTTTTTAATTCCATACAAATTAGTTAAAACTCGTTACTGGGTTACTCAAAAATTCGTTACTCGGCGGTTTTTGAGGTCGCTGAACACTAATATCATGTCAGCGATGGTGTACAATGCGCCTGGTGTCCAGAACGGGACTTGTGTCCGAGTGTTTTGTAGTAAGTCAATAAAAATCAGTGCAAATTCGTTACTTAGGGGTTTTTGTTGTCACTGAATACGAAGATTGACAAAGATTATGTGTGATGCACCCAGTGATCAAGACTCGTCTCTTGGTGATTTGTGGAACTTAAAAAATCAGTGTAAATGCGTTTCTCGGATATTTTGGGGTCGCTGAGCACTAATATCATGTCGCCGATTTCATATCAGGACGAGCATCGTCTACGGGAGATTTCTCGACATTCAATACAATATCAGTGCAAACTCGTTAAAAAATATTCAAATATATATATTCAATAATAATTCTAATTTATTCAATTTTTTTAATTTTTTTTTTGGTACCAACCATTTCTCTAGCTTATTAGCAACATACATTGTAGTTCGTTGTTCGTAGTTACTTGTAGTGTTGTGCATTTTAAACCGAGTGAAACTTGTTTAATGAAAAGTGTATTATTAACGTAAAATTTTAACAAAAAATAGATATCCCAAATGAAACGTAAACTAAAATATATATTTTTCCAATTTTTAAATTGTCTTATATATTTATTATTTGAAAAATTAGTAATCCCCATCCGGTTGTTAAATCAAAGTTAAATAATTAGTCAATGACGTGTGCTCAAATTTTAAGAAAAAATTTTGTAGGTAAAAAATGTACAATGATAAATAGTCGTGAGTTGTTACTACTGACTGGTTTTCTAATCATGTTACTAATGCAGTTTTTTGTAGTGCGAGTTTATTTCCCGTACTGGTGTCGCAAGTGCGGTAAAGTCTACAAATCCAAAGGATCTTTGCGGAGGCACGAAAGATTTGAATGTGACAACAAGAAGGCTTTTAATTGTCCCTTAGCCAGCTGCCCTTTTGAGACTACAAGGAATTATTTGCTTGTTAATCATATGTTGATAAGACATAATACTCGTCTAACTTAATCGATAATTCTCATTTGAACTATATTTTATATACAAGGTGTTTGGCTTATTTCAGAACATTGTGTAAATATAATAAAAGGGAAAAACTATGTTTGAAAAACGAATTGATATAGATTAATTTCATTTTATGGTATAGTCGTCATTTTTGGGTTTAAAATTTAAAACAACTTTTATTATTACATTCTTGGAAATGATTTTTAACAATTAAGATAAAATCCAGTTGAGCTATAAAACCGAAATAATATCATTAATAACCACCTCATACAAACTTTTAAGTATAAGCTGAAATATATATATATATATATATATATATATATATATATATATATATATATAAAAACAACAAAGATAATATAATATATGCCATTACTTTCTTAATATATAATCTTTTACTGCCACTTTTAATCAATGTTGGACATAAATCGTCTAAACTTACGGAAAATATTTTACAAAATTTAAATTCAATGTTACTAAAGATCATTAGTCGGATGTTGTTTTTAAAATAAATTGTAAAGACTGCACCTCAACATATATTGGGCAAACACAGCAATATCTAAATAAAAGGGTTATTACACACAAACACAGTGTACAAACCAACAGATTAGACACTACAGATTTTGCGAAAAATAACAAAACTCTGAAAAATAACAAAAAATGTATTATTGGAAATAATTCACATAAAAAAGATTAAAATTTTATCAATAAAACCTACCTACCAACCTATCAATCTACCAATTTTCCGCAGCAAGATGAATTGCTGTACAACTATTTGCATTCGATTCGGGAAAATGTCAGGAAAGTATGTAAACAAAATTCTTAGTGGTAGAATGAAAATTGCATTTTGAGCATAAGGAAAATGTATTTCCAAAGTATAACGTATTATTTAAGAAAATGAAATATTTATATGAATATGATAACGCCGATGGTCCTTGAGCTACTTGGTGTCGAGGATGGACCTCGTCTCCTGGAGTATGTTAACTTCATTCTATATCACTCGACAGTCATTACTTACGGGTTTTCGAGGACAATGAACATGAATATGATAACGCTGATGGTTCTTGAGCTACCTGGTGCCCACGGTGCACCTCTTCTTCTAGAGTTTTTTGTTATTTTTAAGTGGAATTAAGTCATCAGTCTAAAGCAGTTTCCTGCAGTTTTATGTTAGTTTTATTTTAAATCAGTCGACAGCCATTACTCGTTGGTTTTCTAGATCTCTGAACATGAATATATCATTGATAAATGACCTCAGAATACCTCATGAAACTTTATATAAAATTTAAAAAATTATGCAAAACTTTATTTTATAAATTTGGCGCTTTTAAGCAGTTGGTATCACTAAAGAAGTACCAGGTGGTACATATTATAATCTACACTGTACAAGTACTTTTAACCTTATTCTCGCACACGTACTAATATACAGATATTCTCTTTATTACATAGTTAAAGTAAGTTTTTCTCCCCGCTATACTTCAAACTATTATGAAAATCTTTATTTTTTATGTATACATGTGGATGTAAAGAGAAAGGCTTGGTTTGCAATTTGGCAGTTAAAAATTATGCTCGGCGAAAATTGCACGAATATCGAGAAAATCAATTACAAATCAATCTGATACAAAAGAAAATGAGAAAGAAATAAATTTTCAAATTTATTTCTTTCTAATTTTTTTATACGATTATTTGTTAATCATCTTTTTTTAGGAAATCATATTTTAACTCTTTTTTGCTGCCACATTTTGTACATCAGGTAGTTTGCGGACAAAGGTCGTTATCATATTCGTGTTCAGCGACCTCCCTCTAGTTTAAAATTAATCATTTTTTATGCACTTTGAAGATATATTTTTCTTATATACATTTGGTTGTCAAACATTTCTGACACTTTCCTGAATCGAATGCAGACAGTTTCACAGCGATTCGTCTTGCTGAGAAAAATTGGTGGCTTTAGTGCTTCGTTTCCTCTCATATAACTTAATAAATTGAGTTTGTTTCATAAATGCTCCATTGGTAGATAGTTTAAAATATGCCCCTGAACCGGTCGTAGTTTAAAGAACCTGCCATGTGGTTTTTTTGGGTGAAATATCTATTTTGCATTCCATCGCAAATTATTAAAAAGTGCAGACACAAATATAAAGTGTAAAATGGCAAATAGCTGACGGTCTAAGCAGTAATTGTTGTATTTATAATTGACCGACAAACACAGGAATTAAAAAAGCTTCTGTATTATATAACTAATTATACATTGATTCATATTTAATGATTATTTTTCAATTGGTGGATCCTTAACATAGTATTAATGTCACTTTTAGTGTTCTTTATCCATCTTGATCGTGGTTTTCTGTTTCTTTTTTTTCAGATCGAACTAATAAATAATATTTTTGATAATATTCTTTCTGCCATTCTTGTGATCTCCACTTAAGTGTCTGTGCTTTTATCACTATGTTTTGTTTACTACTATATATTTCGTGGCAGATTTTTGCTAATCCTATAGTGCCTACACACATCTATTGTCGGCCGTGATGCCACAATTGATAGTGACCTACTTTTCCTCTACGTATTGTCATTTTAATGAACGAATTTACTTTATCGATTTAGTTTTCGCTTCGTTTACATACAATCCCTTTGATTTGGCTACTTCTTCGAGATTTTTTATGGTATTAGTAGTTTATCTTTACTTCTGTTACTTACGTTTTAATTTACAGATGTCTGATAAGCGGCAAGTATTTCGACATCGTAATAACAAGCTAATGTTAAACACTAACATTTATTATCTTGATATTATCACCTTAATTATTATTAACATTATGCAGAAACTTACTTACTTACTAGCCAACGCCCACCCTTGGCATGTTAGCCATTTGGTGGCGCGCTGACCAGTATAGACGAGCCGTTTCTCGTAGGCGATCTTCATCCTCCTCGGGTGGGTCTGTTTTCAGGGCTGGGCACTCTGGAAGGTGAGCAGCATCCATCTGGGGCTGATCACATAGTGGACAGTTGTCATTTTCGCGGACGCCGATGCGATGTAGATGGGAGGCCAGGTAGTCATGCCCCGTAGTTGTTCTGAACACGGCTACACTAATGGGTCTCGGCAAGTTGCGAGGGATTGGTGACTCTATTAGGTGGGCCCAAGATTTTCCAGCACCGGCTTGTATTTGCTGCTCTTTTATCTTCGCTTTGATTCCTCTTCTAATGGTGGACTTTGCTGATGTGTACGATTGGAAGCTAGGGGGCTGTGGAAGAGTAGTGCCTTCTTTTGCAAGTTCATCCGCCGCTTCATTTCCTTCAACACCGACATGACTAGGGATCCATTGTAGAGTAATCAGCCACCCTTTTTCCATCAAGTTCGATAGTTGGACGCGGCAAGATATTGTTTTGGCACAGTCGGTGTATCGATTTGTCGACAGGGCGAGGATTGCGGCTTGGCAGTCGATGAAGAAGGCAACTTTTTGGGGGTGTTGGAAATTCTCAAGATTTTTTGCAGCTTCGTGTATAGCAGCAATTTCGCCGTCGTAGTTGGTGAGAGGGGCACCCACAGCTATAGAGCCTTTGAAGAACGTTGAGACATATCCTGCTCCTGTTCTTCCCGAGTCCGGCATCGAGGATCCATCGCAGTAGATGTGGAGCCACTCATGTGCTGGGTACTTGGTGTGTATCGTCTCTAGGGCGGCTTTCCTTAGGGCAATGTCTGACGATAAGTGCTTCGGGTCGTTATGGTTTTCAAGCAGTAATTCTGTGTTTGGTAGACAGCGGGCCAGTGTGGTTTGCGCTGGGAAGGGGGCGGCTTCCGACAGGACAATGTGGTATTTTTCCATGATTTGGTTTGCTACTGTAAGCGGAGTGGTTTGTGTTTTAAGACGTGAGGCTGCTTGTCTATATTCGTCCCATTTTTGTGGAAGTATTCGTCTTTGCCTTTCCCAGAAGGTTAACGCGTGTTGCTCTCTGCGGCATTGTATTGGTTCAATACCGGTCTGGGCTTCCATTGATGTAATCGGTGTTGATTTTGGAGCACCGGTGATGACGCGAAGGGCAGTGTTCTGGGCGACTTCAAGCTTGGAGGTGGTGTTTGTACTCGCAGTTATTGTAGCTTCACTCCCATATTCTAATATCGGCCGGACATAGGTTTTGTATGTTGCTACCAGGACATCTTGCGTGGCGCCCCACTTTGTTGCTGTGAGACGTTTGAGCAGTCGACATCTCTTTGTGGCTTTCTCTGCAATGTCGTCGATTTGAGGTTTCCACGTCATTTTCTTATCTATGTACACCCCCAAGTATTTTGTTACGTCCTGTCTTTCCAGATCAACTCCTTTATACGTCAGCTTGACAGCAGTCTGTTTTGTTGAAAGGCTAAGTACTTGATATACGGTTTTGGTTGTATTGACTGTTAGGCAGTTTTTATCCGCCCATTTTTCTAGATTTTTCAGAGCCTGGTTCATTACTCCTCGAGCGCTCTCAGACTGCTACTTGATGCCCATATTAGGAGGTCATCAGCATACAGGAGGGCTTCCACACCAGGTGTCTTTCTAATCATTTCGAGCACATCGTTTATCATTAAGTTGAACAATTGACAGCTGATGACAGCTCCTTGTGGCAGCCCTTGTCTTTGCAGTCTGAATTTGGAACAGTGGTTGTGAAATTTGACTCTCTGATACCTTTCCCCGAGAAAGGATTTTATCCAATTGAATAGTTTGCCGTCAACTCCGGACTTCGCTATCTTGTGTAACA